GAGGAGAGGCTACGGGACCTGAACCTGTTCAGCCTCCAGGAGAGAAGGCTGAGGGGGGATCTAGTGGCCTGTTACAAACTAGTCAGGGGGATCAGCAGGCACTGGGGAAGTCCCTGTTCCCACGAGCACCGCCAGGAGTGACCAGGAATAACAGTCACAAGCTGGCAGACGGTAGATTTAGGCTAGATATCAGGAGGCGCTACTTCACGGTCAGGGCAGCTAGGGTCTGGACCCAACTTCCATGAGAAGTGGTGCTGGCCCCTACCCTGGGGGTCTTTAAGAGGAGGTTAGATGAACACCTTGCTGGGGTCATTTGACCCCAGTAATCTTTCCTGCCACGGCAGGGGGTCGGACTAGATGATCTACTCAGGTCCCTTCTGACCCTAGAAACTACGAAACTATAAGATGCCCAGATCTATTTCATTGTGGGCTGATAACAAGCCTTTACAGAACATCAGACAATATTAAATCGCTAAGTTTCATACCACAGAAAGGCACTATTGTTAAGCTGCAGTTTCTACTCCCCCCCCCTTGCAAATATTTGTGGAGAATGTGAACATTTATTTGGTTCAAATTGGGGTTCAAACCCCTGCAATGCAGCTGAACTCAGGATCTGAAAAACATGTAAGCCTAGTGTAGCCTGAGTTAGACACTAAATCAGAGCATGTTTTGGGAACCACTAATCATTAATAGCTGCCATCAGTTATAAGTCAGGACTTATCCTTTGGGCTGCAGAACACCAGGAAATATCAGAAAAAAAAAATCTGATGATCCATTCACTCTGAACTGAGCAAAAACTTTGATGTATTAACAACATGCCACAGCCAATTAGAGGCAGGAAGGCTACAAAAACTGCTCAGCGCAGGCTCAAGTTGGATAGTTAGTTGAAAATCGTATTCCTCCCACCCAGAATACAGGGTTAAGAAGTCAAGACTCTACTCCTGCAATGAAGAGAGACTTCATGAAAGCAAATGACAATACATAAACACATCCTACACCACAGCATTTAATCTCCAAGCCCAGAACACACAACCTAAACCAGGGGTGGGCAAAATGCAGCCCACAGGCTGGATGCAGCCTGCCAGGCCATTCTTTCTGGACCACAGGGCCCCTAAAAAATTTAGAAAATTCATATTTATCTGCCCCTGGCTGCCTGTCATGTGGCCCTCGATGGCTAGCCACAACTCAGTAAGCAGCCCTCTGCCTGAAATCATTGCCCACCCCTGACCTAAACAGTGAGATAAAATTCAGAGTTGAATCTAAAATAAAGTAGGTGCACTGGTTAGTGCAGCTCATCACATGTACTGAGGGACTACATTGCTAAGACGGGAAAAGGGTATTAAAAGGTCAATACTTGGCAGATTATTTCACGGGAGGTCCTGTACTGTCTAAATGTATACTTAGACTTCTAAAAATCTGAGCTCCACTAGTGCAAGTCTATAATCAGATGCTGTATTAATTTTTGACCCAAGGGAAAGCAAAGTTCCTGCACTTTTAAATATAAATGGGAGTGCTTTTGAACAGCACAAAGCTTCTCTTCTTCCTTTGCTTCACTATGTTTCTCCAGTTTGACAATCCACAATTCGTAAAGCTCAGAACAGCAATCACGTATTTTAAATAATGGAAACATTTAGACACATAGGTAGTTTATCTTAACATCATTACTTGCTGTCTGAGCAAAACCTGCTTTGTATTCCCAGAGCACATATGCTCCAGCGGCCTGGCCATCAGTCACCTTCCCCATGGTTACTGCTACCGATAACGATGTAACCAAAGATCAGGATGTCTTAACATGCAGCTTACAAGGAACAGGCCAAGACTCACCTTCTACCTCCCTTACAGAATCTTCTGTTCTCACTCCCGCCATGTTGTACTGGCTGCTCACAGACTGGGCCAGCATGCCCTCCAGTCTCTCCAAGGTAGCTTGGCCCTCTGCAGTCAAGTGAGACAATCCTTCCTCGTATGTGTAGAAGGTGGGGATGTCACCTTGTCCCAGTTCTACAAAAGGTTAATTTTTAGCAAGTGCCTACAATACTAAGCAAATTTTTAGATATTCCCAGATCAGGCCCTGAGAATATCTGTTAAAGCCCGGTAAGATATTTTTAAGCAAATCAGAATAAAAATGAGATGGTTTCAGTAGCATTTCAGAAACAAATCTTGTAACCAAACTTTATGACAAGACAACTTTGGGACAAAACACACACCATCTAAAATGGCTTTTAAATACTTTCCTTAATGAAAATTTTACACTGTCATTTAAAGATGCTTACAAGTGTCAATGATTTCTCATCAACTTTCCATCGACACTAAGGTAGAAAACAACATTAGCCAACTTACAATATTGCCAAGTCAAACACTCAAGCTGGGCAAAACTAGAATGCAGATTTGTCTGTGCAAACAATTTGGCCCCTTTATGTGTATGTATTCTGATAGTCTACAATTATGTGATCACTTACTACGTCCTCCCAACCTTGTTATAAAACCGCTGAACTGTTTTGCAGGAAACCGCTGACTGTTCTGAATATGCAGGAAAAACTTAGCTAAGACAGGTTCCTGGCTCATGCTGTTCACCCTAGCTTGGCAAAGAACAGTGTTTCATAGTGGAAAAAAAAAAAAAAAAAACACACGTAACCTTAAAAAAACCCCCAAAAAATACATGTAACCTTAATTATAGCTGGTCCTATCTGCACTGTCTCTAATCAACTGCTGCTGGAAGCTATACAAAATAGGCAAGAAACTATTTCCCCTGTTTTAGGGAGGAGCAAAAAGCAAACTGCCTTCCATCTTCAGGAGGACATTTCTTTAACTACAAAAAAGCCAATATGCCTGCTCCAGAAATAGTTCCCTTTACTGACATTTCTATACAAGATGTCAAGTGGCACCGTTCACATGCTTAAAGTTAAGTATGGGTATGCAGTGGTTTCCTGAAACTGCGACCCTTTCAAAGGTTTGGACTCCTTCACAAAGGGCTAGAAACCACAGCCAACCAGGCAGTTGTTGCCTAGTGCAGTGGTCTCCAAAGTGAGGTGCATGCACCCCAGGGGGTGCGCAAGATGATCCACTGGGGTGCGGGAAGAAAATATTAGAACTTCTATTTATATAAATATACATATATTGGGGGTGCGTGCTCAAAAATGTTTTACTGATAGGGGTGCGCGATCAAAGAAGTTTGGAGACCACTGGCCTAGAGCAACAAACTTTTACTGCCCTTTTCTCCAGCAAAACACATACCTGGAAGCAGGAGCAGCCTGCAGCAAAAGAAGAGTAGCTGGATGGATCAAGCTGGAGAGGCTGCTGAGCAACCATCATGGAGGCTAAGGTGCTGCCTCAGCCAACAATACAATATAGTTAGATAAAGTTTGGGTGAAGTGGTCTAGGTGTTAAATTCACATTTGCAACATGTTGATGGTGCAGAGACAGCTGTGATCAGCATCTTGGTTGTTTGGGGAATACAGCAAGGCTGCACTAGGATTTTTTTTTTTTGCTGGGCAGGTAGCCCTCCGCTGTCTGGCTACTGATTTTTTGCTTTTTTGTGTGCTTCTACTCAACAAACATACAACGCTTCAGCTTTAAGAACTCAGAGTGGTACCAACCACAGAAAAGGAGATTTTTGACCAATGCTTGCACACACATGCATACTCAGGACGTAATGCTTAACTGGAGAACAGCTGTTAAGAGAGGTAGCAAGGGTACAGGAGGCAGCATGCATTTAATAAAAAAAAGCATCACTAACCATGAGCCTCCACATCGTACTCATCCCCTTCATAATCATTGTCCGAATCTTCATCCTCCGGGTCCGGGTGCAGGGCTTGGCACTCACACATGGCTGAGAACATGGTTTCCACTGGATAAACAAAACACAGTTCTTTTGTGGGCAAGCGGCCTAAATAGGTCTACAGACCATGGCAGGGATGTGAAAAAGGTGCTCATCTTAATCAGGCACTAAATACCTGCCTCTGTAAAAGGAGGGGGCCTGTTGCATACACAGAAGGAGTTGCGGAGGTGCTTAGAACATCGAAAACCTCTCACCACTTAAATCCACCATGGCAGCAGCCAAGAACTCCCGGGATGGGAGAAGAGCTCAGAGGGTGAAGACGCTCCTTCATCAGAGCCAGTGAACTAAGCAATCTCTAAGGCTGTGCCATGGGTATGGACAGACTTAACTGTATCACTATCAAATTATACTAAAATTGGCTGGCACCATGCAACTGTTACCTGTGCATGGTTCTGTAGTGATAGAAGTGCAGCTAAACCACTCTAACTTTAACCCTGCCTCATCCACTACTGGATCAGAGATGTATAATCATAGAGATCATAACAGCTTACCAGTGCACCTGAGTGGAAGCTCCCCACCTCTATCTAAAATAGCTAAAAAGGACGTTTGTCTACACGCTCTAATCTAAGATTATAAATTTGTAGGCAATTTAAGTAATCTTTTTTAGGCAACAGCCTCTTTAAAATCAACTCAGGGCCTTTAAAAAAAAAAAAAAAAATCACAGGGTGACAGAAAGCCTCTGGCCCGGATTAGAAGCCACTGGGACACAAAATGGAGTTGGAACAAATGGTCAGGCGTTAACTGTGCAAGACCCCAAAGAGTCACATTAGGACTGGGTTTAATAGGTTTTAACAATCTGGAAGGGAGGTGGTAACACTTCCTTTATGCAAAACCAAAGATGGCTATGAAGACTGTCCAAGACCCATAAGAAAGCTAGAATAGGCATGCATCTGCTATCATTTCACTGCTCATGAATACTGATGGTTTTAACAGGAAATAAATAGGCAAGAAGAAAACCTGCTTTTCTCCTCTCAGCACACATCAACCCAAGATGCAGCAAAAACAGTTCTGGGACATGCACAGAATGAGATAACAGGATAAGACCTTTCTATTAACAAAGGACACTCCTTCAACAGGAATACTGTGCCTGGATCTGGTCATATCACAGGAGACAGGGGAGCCAAAAGAGGGTCAGAGAGAGTCAACAACATTATCAAAGGCCTGGGAGATTTCTGTCCGAGGGGTAATTGAAAATTCTTGAGTTTAGAGAGAAGACAGATGAAAAGGATGTGACAATTCAATAAAATAGTTCTGAATAACTAAAGTGGGTACTTACATGCTTTACAAGAGCAAACTAACAGTGGGTACAATTGAAAAGCTCTAATTAAAAACTCCCCATGTGGCTAATTTAAGTCTGACAAGGAGTTTTTGAGAATACTGCAGGTGTAGCCTGTAGAACTCACTGACAGAAGATGAGATCAACATCCAAGGAGGAGAAACACAGGGCTGAGATATCTCTCTGGGTAATCAACATTCACTAATACACTAAATAACAAGATTTTAAAGGGGACACAAAATCTAATGATCCAAGACAAAGATCTGACCATGAACACCACAACCCAGCTTTTTATACACCTCTTGCCACCAGTGGCCTTAAAGCATTTTACAAAGGAGGTCAGTATTCCTGTTCCCTTTTTACTGGTGGAGAAACTGAAGCCAAGAAGGGTGAAGTGACTTGCCCAAGGTTACTCATTAGGCTGGTTGCTGAGCTAGGAATTGATACCAGCTCCAACTGCTCTACCCACTAAGATACACTGTCTGCCTATTTCATTAGGTGACAGCAATTAAGCAGATGCTTCTTTTAGGGAGCAATTTATTTGAAGACTATCTACTGGGGGTTTCTTGTATTATTCTGAGGCATCTTACACCAAGCACTGTTAGAGGCAAGGCACCAGCCTGGAGAGACCAGAGGTCTGGCCAACTGCTGCCTTCTTAATGAAGTAATGATGTGGACAATTATATTAGTCAGGATAATGAGTCTGTCATTAAACATACCTATGATACAAATCCAATGCCAGTCTAAATTAATTAAATCATAAGTGTGCAGGTAAAGATCCTGGATATTCTTGGGAATGACATTCAGGTACATGTTGCAACACTTACATAGAGTCCACAGGGAGAACTAGCTGCCCAGCATATCCCAGCTTTAACTGGGACACAAGGACTGACAAAACATTAGCACAGTCTATGTCACTACTTCTGGGGCAGTGATTCCCTACCAGGCTACCCCGAGATCCTTTTAAAACTGCTGTGGGGTGCAGCATCATATCAGCACCATTAGGTGTGCAAACACACAATTTGCAAGATAAATCCAGTTTTCAAATATGAATCAATAGTGCCCAACCCATTCAGACTGGTTGCAGGCTTTCTAAGGTCTTTTCGACAGAAGAATGGCTCTGGTATCTTTCTGTAATCAAAAAGCCAGTGAAAATTAAACTGGCATTTTCCAAGTAAGGCCTTGAGGCCAGCAAGGTTCAGAACCACTGCTCTAGGGAGATGGAAATCTAGCACTTAGACTAGAGCTGTAGAGTCATGTCATTTGCACACTCTAGGCCCCAAGCCCTGTATGTAGCATGTCCCTACCTCATAGGGATAGAGACTTTACTCAGCTTTCAGAAAGCACTTTGAGCCCCCCAGATAGCAGGAGCAGCACAAGTATTTCACCCTTTCACTTACAGGCTGATTTGTCGCTGGGAACAAATCTGAATTCGGCAATGGGTTCAACATCATCATCGCTGTCATCCTCCTCCTCTTCCCCTTCGGCCATGGGATCTTCTTTTGGCTCTTCCTCTTCAAGGAGAAAAGCATTTATGAGAAAGCTGCTTATGGTTTCTCCAAATTCTGGTTTATTTGATCTTTTAGGGTAGCGGTTCCCAAACTCTGACAGACTAAGTTAACTCTGACAAACCAATTTAAAATGATACAGCCTTAAGTACCACCAGCAAATTTTTCATATACATAGGAAACAGACCATGTATTAAAACAACATCAAAACCTTTAGTAATCATAAAACATTGTTTTATCAGTGACAGTAGCCACATAAAACAATTGTAAATTGGAAACAAGACAGTATAAACCGGGGTAAGCAACATTTTTGGCTGAAGTATTGAAAAAACCCCGCAATGTGTACCCTGTAAGGTGCCAAAGTGCTGGCGCACACACACAAAAAAACTGCGTGGGGGGGGGTACATGGAGGGACACACTGCATATTAATACAGTTAATCATCATAAATGTTGCTTCTTTTTTTTAAAGTAAATAACCAGGTTTTCTAAAAATTCTAAGCCTGGTGACAAAAAGTAAAACCTCGTATGCTACCTTTGTTCTTGTATATTCTTTTTTGTTAAGTATGGTGTGATGAGAAAGAAGACAGGGAAGGAAGGAGGACAGTGTGGGGAGTGGGGAAGAAGCAGATAGGCTGGCCCCGCCAGGCCCTTGGGAAGGCAGCAGCCGGAAAGCGGGGGCCAGGTAGAGAGCAGGGATAGTGTGGGTGCTCAGCAGCATGGGAGGTGGGGCCCAGCCCAGGCTGTGCAGCTCCGTGGGCATAGGGTGCAGCTGCCCTCCCTGTGAGGAAAAGCTGCCTGGCCAGGGCAGGACGGCGGGCTTGGGGGAGTCCTGGCTCAGCCTCTGTGGGCAGCACAAGCGGGACAGAGCTCCCCAGGCCACAGCAGGGACTACCTGGGCTCTGGGAATAGCCATCGCAGGCAACGCTCAGTGCCAAGCCATCTGGGAACTGTGCAGTGCTTGTCCTAGCCCCAGCCCCTTGCTGTAGGTGGGCAAGGCTGGGCAGACTGGGGCAGTCGCAGCGGCTGTTCCCAGGAGTTCCTGTGGCCAAGCCCTTGCAGCAGGGCCAACTTTGCCCCACTCGCACTGTACCCAGCATGCAAGGAGGCCGAGGCAGGAACCAAAAAGCTCCCACCAAACCTGGCATCCTGTCTCAGCCAGGCAGTGTTGCCTTGCAGAGCTGTGCGGGACCAGCCAGGCCCCACCTTGGGTGCCGCTGGGCAACCCCACCCACCACAGCCCTTCCTAGGACAAACTGGGCCTTTCCAGGGGTAAAGGGTGGCTCCACCTGCCCCACAGATTTATGTTTGGAGCAGAGACGGCTGCCACTACATGCTGGGACCTGCGCCCCGCCGCTGTTGCCTTGGGAGCTGCACGCAACACCATGTGCCTTCCACCACTGGGCAGCCCTTGCATGAAAGGCACATGGTATCACGTGTGGCCGCAAGGCAACGGCAGCCGCCTCCACCCCATGCTCAAACCCAGGTGGCAGGTGCCCCCCATGTCTATCCCAGGGTGTGCACAGCAATGGCAGCACATCCACGTCCCAGGATGAGCTGCCTGGGGTTCCCAC